AATCACCTTTCCAAGTTTCAGAGTTCTCATCTACAAACTGTAGATTACAGTGATACTTATTCCACAAGCCTGGCCAGAAGATTACAGATAATGGATATAGAAAACTGTTACTCCTAACTAACTTCCACAGAAGTTCCCATTTAAAATTTCTTCTTACACTAGTTGTGTGTGTGTGTGTGTGTGTGTGTGTGTGTGTGTGTGTATACATGCATGTGTATGGAGGTCAGAGACTACTTGCAGAAGTCCTCTCTATTTTGTGGATTCCAAGGATTGAACATGGGTTGTCAGGTTTGGCAGCAAGTGACCAAGTGACTTTATCTGCTGAGCCATATCTCACCAGCCCTGAAGTTCCCATTTAAAAAAATGTTTTAATGTCTGAACTCCTCCATAAGGTATACAAGGCCCTTCAGGATATGGCTTCTGCCTACTTTTTTTTGAAACTGGTCTTTCTAGTCCAGGTTGGCCTGCCTCAAACTTATGATCTTCCTGCTTCAGTCTCCTGAGTGCTGGGAAGTGCTGGGATTATAGACATGCACACATCATGCCTGCATGCTTCTTTCACCCCACTTCTTTTATACATATATATATATTTTTAAATTTTATGTGTATGAGTGTATTGCCTGCATGTATGTGAGTGCACCTGTATCATGCAATGCCACAGAGGGCATTGGAACTGGAACTGGAGTCAAGGACGGTTCATAGCTGCCATGTGGGTGCAGGTCCTCTGCAAGAACAGTCAGTGCTCTTAACCGCTGAGCCATCTCTCCAGCCCTTTTCACTCCACTTCTTAAACCAGGCTGGCCTCCATCTCCCAGAGATCCACCTGCTGGGATTAAAGGTGTGCACTCCATTTCTTATCACTCCCTATCCCTGTGACTCCACTGACAATCAACCAGGGCCACTTCACTTAACAGTGCCCCAAAGTGCTCTCTCCTACTATTGCAAGTACAGCCCTTTTGCCCAATATACTCTTGCTGGGTTATTCCTTTTTTTTCTTCAAAGCTCAATTTAGGTGACTCCTCATGCAGGAAGCATTCCTTGATAACCCTACCTTCATATGGATTAAGTGTTTTATTTTTAGAATATCTTCCAATCCTAGGACATTCAAGTCCAGTAATTGGTAGGAGCCACAGGTTTGTATCATGCTTATTATGAGACCGTGGTCTCTGGAGGGCAAGAGCTGGGTTTCTTATTTATCTTTAGTGCTTTCCAGGTTCTGTATACAGAGCAGACCCCAGGAACGGGAAATTGAGTTAAGGACAAAGTACATAAGTGAATGAATAGTGGTGTCTTGGTTGGCTTCAGTTTTTGGCTTGACACGCTCCAGAAAAGGGATTGTCAGTTGGGGAATTGCTTTTATTGAACTGGCGTGTGAGGCATTTTCTTGATTGTTGAGTAATATAGGAGGGTCCAGCCCATGGTGGGTGGTGCTATATCTGGGTGGTTGTATAAGAAAGAAGGCTGAGCATAGGCCAGAACAGTAAGCCAGAAAGCAGCATTTCTTCGTGGTCTTTGCTTCAGCTCCTTCTTCCAGGTTCCTGCTTGCACTCCTACCCTGGCTTCCCCTGATGATGGACTGTGACTTGGAAATGTAAGCCAAATAAACCCTTTCCTCTCAAGTTGCTTTGGTCATGGTGTTTATCACAGTAAGAGAAACCAAACTAGAGCAGATGGTATAAACTTCTACTGCTCTCTGCATTTCCTTCTTGTGATTCTCTCCTGCTACTGCACATGCTCCTCTCCCCTGGGTGACTTTCCTCAATATACATGGGAAAGTTCTATGGATTTTAGTAATGAATTTTTTCTTCCTTTTTTGAGACACGGTCTCACTATGTAGCCCTGGCTAGCCTGGAACTCACATAGATTTGCCTGCCTCTGTCTCTTGAGTGCTGGGATTCAAGGTGTGCACACCCAACAAGAATTTTTATTTATTATATATATATTGAGACTGGGTCTCCCTGTAGCCCCAGCAGGCCTGGAACTCACTATGTAGACCAGGCTGGCCTCAGTCTCACAGAGATTTGCCTGCCTCTGCCTCCCAAGAGAATTTTTATTTTTATTTTTTTGGTCTTTTTGAGACAGGGTCTCCCTATAGCCCCAGCTGACCTAGAACTCACTATGTAGACCAGGCTGGCCTTGCACTCACAGAGATCCGCCTGCCTCTGCCTCCCGAGTGCTGGGATTAAAGGTGTGCACCACTACTCTCAGTGAGAATTTTTATTTCTTTAGCTTTGCTTGTTTGAACCTGTCTGAAGGGTTCGATAGCCCTCTCTGTCTGTAGAGTTGAGTGTGTAAGAAAATATGACCTTATTCCCTTTTCCAACCTGAAGTTATTAATTCTGAACTTATCCTTCCATTTCCATCCCAGTCTGTTCCTACTGGCCCCTACCACAGTGAATGACACCTCTATCTGGACATTTGTATATGCAGGAAACCTAGAACGCCTCTATATCATGCCCTCCTCAAACAGACTGATCTCCAGGCTCTTATCTGCAAGTGTGCCTGTGACTTCTGCACTTACCTCCACAGCTACTACTTGAGTCCAGTGTACCATCTTTCACCAGAATTATTGTGTTGGCCACTCAGGTGGTCTCCCTGTTTTTCATTTATTTATTTTTTTTGTCTTTTTTGAGACAGACTCTCCATGTACCCACAGCTGGCCTGGAACTCGCTATGATCTGGCTGACCTTGATCTCACAGAGATTCATGTACCTTTACCTGCTGAGTGCTGGAATTAAGTGCATGTGCCACCATGACCAACTTGTCTCCTTGTGTAATAGGGCACCTTCTTGACCATAGCTACGCCACGTTAAAGTTTAGGCTGACTCTAGTCTCTGAAATTATCAGGCAGTTGGCCTGGTATATGGGAATACATGCAAGCTGGACCCTGGTTGTCTTGGGAACAGGTCAGTGTCCTAGAGTGTTCCTGCTAACTGCTGATTTATGGCTTCTGTAGGTTATGTTTGGCTTGCTTCTGCAAAATAATGTTACCTAATAGGAATTATTTAAGGGATGCTGTATGTGTGTATGTATGTATGCTTGGGAACCTAAACTTTTCACTCCTGGTTATAGTTTCTCTGTACAAAAAGTATCCCACAACATTTAGAGGTTCCTAAGACACAATTGCTATACAACAAAACCCCTCTAGAGGGAACTTTGTGATCAATAAAGACAAAATAGAATAACAGTGAGATTGATGATGTTAGTTTATGAAAGAGGAGGAAGCTAGTTCCGTGCAGGTGGGGGGTTTGGATGGAAAACTGTATTTTCTTATGTATTTCCTTGATAATGTTTGCTCAAGCTTAACGCTCAATGATTGGCTTCTGTATTCTGCTTGCTTGCCTAGCAACATGATCACTATAAAAAGAGCCAGAGTGCTTGGGCTCGGTGCTACACTTGGACCCTCTAGGAAAGAGTGTAGCACGGCCATAATAAATCTTTCTCCAGACTCACCTGTTTGTCTGTTTGGGGTATTTGTGTATCCCAGACTATAACACTTGCTTTTAAAAACTATGTTTTTTAGTGCTGGGAACTGAGCCCAGGGCCTAAAGCATGCTTGAGTTCTTTACCACTGAACTATCTTTTCAGCCATCTCCCACTTTTAGATGCCTCTCATCTCCAACTGTTCTTCATTATCTGGCTGGAAAATACATAACTGATTTTATTCTTTTTTAAAGTCCTCTAGTGAGTGGTTTCCTCTGCCTTCAAAATAAAGTTCCAATTCTACAAGGCCTCAGCTATTTAGCCTTACTTTTCTGTCAGGGTCTCCTTCTCTCCCCTGGAGGCTATACTCCAAACTGCTTGCTCTACAACTAGTCTGGACAGATCTTTTGCTCACTTAAAAAAAAAAAATTATTATTTTTATTTTATGTGTATGAATGTATTGCCTGCATGTAGGTAAGTGCACCTGTGCCCGTGCAATGCCAGCGAGGACAGAAGAGGCTGTGGGATCCCCTGGACCTGGAGTTACAGACAGTTGTTAGCTGCCATGTGGGTGCTGGGATTCAAACCCGGGTCTTCTGCAAGAAGACCGTTTTTTCTCACTTCTTCAATTTGGTTAACCTCTGCTCATCACCTAGGGCTTGGTTCAGATGTGATGTCACACACACTGGGAATATGTTCTTGCTGATTCTCTTAGCTTTCCAAGTCCATTCTTCAACTTCTGTAATGGTGTCGGATTACCAGACTTCTTTATTTTTATACTTGAGACAGGGTCTCACGACGTAGCAATGGCTGGCCTGAAACTATGTAGACCAGGCCGGCCTGGATCTCAGAAAGATTCGCGTGCCTCTGGGAATAAAGGCGTGTACTTCCACGCCCCGTTACCAGACTTGTAATTTCACCTTTGCTCTTTATTAGCTGCACGACCTAAAGCTATTCCGTTTTATCTGCAACCAGAAGTAAAAATTTCATCAGTCTGTTGGGAGAATTAAATAAGATGATGTAAGATGCCGATAATTAAGTTAGCTGTCATTATAGTACGGAGAGAGCTGGATGCCCGTGCCACCTTATTCCCGAGGTCAGCTTTGTGCAGGATTTACCTTTAATTCACTTTTGTTCCGGTCTCGCATGTTTTTTGCTCGACAAGGTAATTCTAACAAGCCTGGAGCGGATCAGGTACCAAGCCAGTCACGACTTTTCTTTCCGCGCGCTCCCGGGACTCGGAACGCCCCCACGTGGCTCAAGCTCTGCTGCAGTAGCTGGGGGAGCGGGGAATACCATTCTCAATCTTAGGGGAAGAAAGGACTTTTCCAGAAACATAGTTTGCCTCTATAATAGGGGAGGCCTACTCTTTCACTTCATAGCGTCACATTCTAATGGACCAGATAAAGTACGAAGTAGGCCTGCGAGGGGGACGAAGCGGGCTGGCCCAGCTCCCCTCCATCTCCACAATGGCATTGGTACTTTCCTTTCTCAGTTCCCTCTCAATAATGGTACGGCTCTCGGAGGGGCGAACAGAGAAGGCCTGAGGGGTCAGAGGACGGTGCCGGCGGCGGGCCCCCCCTCCTGCCCCAATGGCGTGGTATCGGCCGCTGTGCGCTGATTGGCTGCCGAGGCCCCGCAGTCGGTCTCAGCCCGCCGCGCCGCCCTCAGAACAGCTTGGGCAGCCGCGCCACCTGACTTTCGTTTTCCTTGTTCTTCGCGGGGCCGTGCGGGGCTCCGCGCCGCGGCTGTTTGTCATGTCGGGTAGGTGACTTCTTCAGCGGGCAGCTGCAGCGGCAGAGGCGAGAAGGGGCCTGGCGGGGTTGGGCGGTCTTCCCGCCCACTGAGGAGCCGCGAGGGAAAGACTCCGGCCTGAGGGAGGCTCGGGTTGCGGGGGGGGGGGGCCGCCGCGTAGCCGCCATGTTGGCCTGGAAGCACGCACGCTCCCAACGCTCTCTGGCTGCAAATCAAGGCGGGAGTGCTTAGAAAGCTTGTCTTTTGACCCTGCCCTTGGAACCCGAGGAGACCGGGTGCTCCCGGGGGAGGGCGTGTGTGAGTGGGGGGTGGAGGCTGGTCTACGCCATTGCAGGGGCGGGGGGAGACGAGATCCGAGCCGCAGTCTGTGGACCTGGGCTTCGGGTAGCCTCAGCTCAGCGAGGCCTCTGTCGGGTCGTCTTCGCCACCGCCGCCTCAGCTGGGACTTCCCGACCCACCATTCATCAGGTGGGGGCCGTGAGGATGCTGCCGCGCACGAAGTCACGTTTGCCATCCTGCAGCGATCTAACCACCCGGGTCGGAGTTGGGGGTGTGTGCGGAGAAGTCTGTTTCCTCTTCTTCCTGCTCTGGTCCCTCTCCTCCAGTAGTTCATGTCCGGAAAGATCTGGAAAGCGAGTCGTGCCTGTCATTCATAAGCTCTTTGGGGTGTAGGTGGCATTTCCCCTATAACATAAACGAAAGCCAGCTTCTTCCTGGACGTGGTTCTAAGCGTAGACCCCACCGTGCTGCGTCGGGGGAAAGGTCGGTCAGTCTGGATCCTGTTAAACTAGAATGAAAGTTCTCGACTTGAGCAGATCCACTGGATCACACAAGGTCCTCTGTTTTGGACTGCATTACACTTACAGGTGGCTAAGACCCCGGGCCACACTAGGAGCTGAGAGTTTGCCCTCTTCTTGTGAGGGAAACATTTCCTAAATAAAGCTTCTAATTGGGATGAAGCATGCTTTTTAATAGTCTTACATTTTAATTAAGGGCCAACACATATATGTGTGTGTGTGTGTGTGTGTGCAAATACGTATGTATGTGCACACACACGTTTTAACGTATCATAGTCCTCTAGAAGTGCTGTGTGATCAAAGGATGTAGCAGTTGGAGAAAATTCCAAATTAGCCAGGAAGAACAAGCTGGAGAGTTATATTCTTTCCTTAGATTAGCATTGACACAGAGGAGCTGTATTAATCTTTTTTAAAAAGACTGAGCTGCATTGAAGTGAGCACTTCAGTTTCTGTTTAATTTTTGTTAGATAAAGAATAATTTATGCAAAGTAGAAGACGTTTGTATGTCTTCTGTCAGGCACGTATTTTGACATGAAGTCTGGCAAAGCTCCAGAGAACTATGAGGAGGGCATGTAGGTATGACTAAAAATGTTAAGTTTTACCCTCTCTTGGTAGAGAAATCTGCCAAGTTTCTGTGAAAACAATGCTCATTAAAATATGAAGCCTGTCTTGATTTTCATTTATGTTTTTGAAATAGGGTCTTGCCTTTTGTATCTCGGTCTGGCATTGAATTCATTCATCAAACTGCTTCAGCCACCTATGGAGTTAAAAGTGCTTCACCTTGCCCTACCTGTGTTGGATTTTTTTTTTTTTTAATTATTACTATTTTTTTTGTGTGTATGAGCGTATTGACTTCAGTTATCTTCGGTGCACTCATGTCCTACAGTGCCCATGGAGGTCAGAAGACGGTGTTTGATCCCCTAGAACTGGAGTTAAGAAGTTAGCTGCCATGTAGGTGCTGGGACTTGAACCCGGGTCCTCTGCAAGAGCAGTCCGTGCTCTTAACTGCTGAGCTATCTCTCCACGCCCCCCCCCGTTGATTTTGTTTTTTTAACATAATTACTGGTATAAATGACATTATAGGATTATGTTGTTTTAATGGAAGATTTAAATTTAGAGGCTTGTCATTTGTAAAATTGAGGCTTTTCTGTGTTGTTAGTGGAGGAACCCGTTAGAACTGATCTTCAAGTTACTAAAACCCTAGGTATTAGCCACTTGGTAATTTTTTTTAATTAATGAAAATTGGAGTGTGCAAAGAACTAGTTATGTATGATTATTTCTAGATTAATATTTAAAGCTAGATGCTTTTAAATTTTTAGTGTTATATACTAAGACTTTGTGATATGTATATATATTTTGACTGTCTAAAAGTAATGTTTTGACTTGTTCTTTGATGCATGTTTAAATTAATAAACTTAGCAGAATAAACTCCCCCTAAGCAACTAGTACCATTAATAAGTTGCATCCTTTAAATATTCTAGACTACCCTTAGAAATTTAACTGACCCAACCACTCCAGATGCCAGCCAGGGCAGACTTATAAACCTAGTAAAATAGCTTTTGGGCTAGAGGTGTTGCTCAGTGGTAGAGCCATTGCTTAGGATTCCCAAACTGAGGGTTTGATTCCCAGCACCAAGGGGAAAATGATATGTATACATACGCACTTAATCAGTAAATAAGTCAACATTATAAATATATTAGTCTGACCTTTAAGTGTTATTTACAAAGTTGCCTTTTGAATTTAAATCATAACTAAAATATCAGTTATAAAATATACAAAGTCAGGCTATTTCTCATTCTGGCAATTACAGTGGACCCAAGATATTGTAAATCCTCTACAAACACACACACAGGGGAGGGAGGGGGGCACAAAAATCTGGGGAAGCAGAGCCCCATGCTAAAAATGAAATAGAAGCCAATATTGTAGTCATAGAACTAATTGACAGAAGAGGACAGTACAGCTCTCATTTAGTCTTTGATTTTTATTAAATAAGGATAAGTGATGAAAGCTTGAGCTGTTTGAATCAGTTAATGGAAATTGGAACCCTTACATAAGTCCTGGGTTTAGAGATTTTGAATTTGAAGGATTTTGTCTTCTGTGAAGGAATGAACAAAGAAAACAACAACCCTACCAGCATAAGCAGAAACATTGAAGCTTAAACAGTGGTGGTGATACATGCCATTAGTCCCAGCAGTTGGGAGGCAAAGACAGATTGATCTGTGAGATTGAGGCCAGCCTAGTCTACATAGCGAGTGTCAGGCCATCTGGGCCTATAGGGAGACCCTGTCTCAAAAAGACCAAAAAAACCCCAGAAAACAAAATACAAAAGCAAAACACAATATGAGTAAAGAATTTTTACTGAGAATATGTGATCTGGGACCTATGCTTCCCATAATTTAACTTTTAGTAAGTTTTAAGATGGTTTGATATAAAAAAAAAAAATTCGGACTGTTAGTACCTTTGGGGTTCCTGGTTAAAAACAAAATCTCTGGAGGAATTCTCACAGTTTAGATCACAAAGAGTTTCAGAATACCCAGACCTTTGAAAAGGTGAGTTCATAGTAGAAATTGAAGAACACTAAGGAAACACTTCCAAAATGAGAGTTAAATACCTCGATTAGAGCAGCAAGTATTTTATGTTGAAGATAATTAAAAAACCTAAAAGGCAGATTCAACCCTAAGACCAAGGTATTTGAGGAAGAATCACATAGATTTGAAAAGGAATCAAGTATATATATTTTTAGTCTATTTTTTTTTTTTTGAGACAGGGTCTCCCTATAGCCCCAGCTGGCCTTGAACTCACAGATCCACCTGCCTTTGTTTTCTGAGTGCTGGGATTAAAGGTGTGAGCCACCACACCCGACATTTTTATTTAATTTTTATTTTTAATTTAATTTCATTTTTAAAAATTTTATGTGTATGTATTGCCTGCATGTAGGTAAATGCACCCAAGTTGTGCAGTGCCCATGGAGGACAGAAGAAGCTGTCAGATCCCCTGGAACTGGAGTTACAGACAGTTGTTAGCTGCCATGTGGATGCTAGGATTTGAACCCTGGTCTTCTAAAAGAACAGTGTTCTTAACTGCTGAACCATCTCTCTGGCCCCATTATTTTTATTTTATAAAAATTTATGAGCGTATTGCCTGCATGCATGTAAGTGCACCTGTGTCATGCAATACCTGTAGAGGTCAGAAGAGGGTGTCAGATCGCCTGGAACTGGAGTTACAGATAGTTAACTGCCATGTGGGGGTGCTGGGAACTGAACCTGAGTCTTCTGCAAGAGTAACCAGTGCTTTTAACCACAGGGACATCTCTCCAGCCCCAGCCAAGTATAATTTTTTTTAATTACATTTATTTATGTGGGTATGTGTGTGGGCGTAGCGTACATGTGAAGGTCAGAGTATGACTTGGAGTCAGTTCTTTCTCTACCATGTGACTACTAGGGATTGAACTCAGCTTATCAGCCTTGGCGGCAAGTATCTTTACCTACTGAGTATCTTGCCAGCCCCCCCCAAGTATAATTTATGTAAGTAAAAAAAAAAGTAGTAAATAAAATATTTTTTAAAAAAGGCCTTGCAGAAGAAATTATAGATGTGATTGATATGTTCTGTTTTCCAAAACTCAGAAGGAGAAAGATGGAAAGTTAGTTCCTGGGCATGGTAGTACACACTCGTCTGTACTCAAGAAACTGAGTTGGGAGGATCAAGTATGGGCAACATAGGAAACCCTGTTTCAAAAAAAAAAAAACCACACACGAATTGGAGGTTTTTAATCAATCATTAGTCTCACATGATACATAAGAATAAATTCAACTTGATAAATTGTTGTGAAACCACAGTTTGTAAAGTACCCATAGCAAACCTACTATAGAAAATTAAGAGGGCCCTGTGAAAGGGCTCAGTGGTTAAGAGTGCTTGCTGCTTTTGCAATGGAGGACTGGAGTTTGGTTATTAGCACTCACATCTGAAGGCTCACAATTGCTTGAAACTCCAGCACCAGAGCATCCTATACTACTTCTGGCTGCATGTATGTGCACAGACACACATGCACATAAAGGTTTTAAGAGAATGGAAAATGAGTTTAGAGGGAAAATAACTGTTGACCTTGATTTTTCTGCCAAATAAACTGTCACGTAGACATTGGATCTTTGCTAAAAGAATCAATGTTAAATGTAGAGGGAAGAGTGGAATAAAAAGTACAAGGGAAACAAGTGAAAATTTTGATTGGCATTATGTTAAAGTCCAAATGTTTCATTAGAGGTTGATTTTTTTTACCAAGAAAGCATGCAGACATTTATTTACAAAGCTGAGTGTGGTGGAGCATGCTTTTAATCCCAGCAGATAGAGCTCTGTGAGACTGAGGCCAGTTTGGTTTTAATAGTGTGTTCCAGGCCAGCTGGGGCTACAGAGAGCCCCTATTTAAAAAAAAAAATTTTTTTAAGTTAAAAGTTATGCAACATTCTAGGAAACAGGGTCTCTGGTGGACCCATCATAACTTTCACTGCCTTTCTCTAAGTCACTTTTCAAAGATTGCTATCAGCAGCTTATGAATGATCAGATTGGCAGCATTTTTTTGGTGTTGACAACTGGTGTGGTTGACAGTCTGAAGTGAAGGAGTCCATCACTGACATGTTTTGTTCTCTGCATATTAACAAGTCTGAGCATCTTTTCAGACATTGATTTTTTTTTCCCTTTCTAGTTCTGTATTCCAGAACAACATGCTGCTTTGCTGTCTTTCTACTGGGATTATTGTCTTTTACATCATTGCCAGATAAAAAAATTTTAAAGCTTAAAAGAAAGTTATGCAACAGAAATTGGATGTAACTTATAAAGCAATAGTAAACATGTGAATAAGAAAAATTTAATAGAAAGCAGAAATGGAGTTAAAAGGAAAAGAAAAACCATGGTGAATAGAAAATTACAATATAAGATGGTAGGTTTAAAGAAAAATGAACATTAAAAAAAAAAAAAGAAATCTCTGTTAAAGCACAGGTGTTCTCAATGGGAAAAAATTACCTAGATAGGCTGTTGAGATTAATGCATCATAAATGTTGGAAGATGGAGTTAACTAGGCAGATAACCACCTGAAAGGTGATTATGTGCTTTGGCTGCTAGTCTATATGATGTTTTAAATATTTTACTATTTTTTGTTTTTTTGCATATGAATATATTGCCTGCATGTAGGTAGGTGCACCTGTTTTGTGCACTGCCCATGAAGGGCAGAAGAAGGTGTCAGATCCCCTGGATCTGAAGTTACAGATGATTGTTAACTGCCATGTGGGTACTGGGAACCCTCCCCCCATCCTCTGCAAGAGCACCCAGTGCTCTTAATCACTGAGACTTCTCTCCAGCCCCTAGTCTATATGATGTTTAAAGGAAATTTTCCAGCTAGGCCTTGTGACTCTTGCCTGTAATCCCAGCAATTGGGCCATAAGGTTGGACACACCTGCTACCTAAATAAATTCATATACAAGGCTCATGTACCAGGTAATCTTAACAGTGAGTTATTTTGAGTTGCCTTAAATGCCATTTATAAACTTCTACTGAATATGAAACATCTGCATTTTTATTACTGAAATATTGACACAAATTTACTGGTCTTATGCTTATTTCTGTATCTTGAAGTTTTAAATCAGCTAAGAAAGTCAAGTTTATAGTTTCAGGAAACTTGAAAACACTTGGGCCTAAACATTGGGTCTTGAGATAAGGTGTGAAGATCTAGGTATTAGTATTTAAATGATTTTGCCTGACCAAAAGGAAACTTGGGAGGTATTGACTGTCATTGGGAAAATACATGCATCCCCCAGGTATTTACATTTTACTCACTCTCCACTCCCTGCTTACCCCAGTAATTCTTTTCACTTTGATCTGTGTGAAGCTAGTTTCCTTTACTCTTTGGTAGATGCATCTATTTATGTTCCAAATAATTATTTCCCATTTTTCTCTGGTAGCCAGTTCTTATGAGAATAGCAGTGATTCCCCCCCCCCCAATTTCACGTAGCCTTGTGCCCTTAATGTTCATAGAAAGAATTTTTTTAACTTAAAAAAAAATTTATTGAGAATTTCATACATGCATATAAGGTTGTTTTGATCAAATCCATGCCTGTTCCCTTCCCACCAACTTCTCCCATATCTCCCCATCACTTACTCCTGACAACTTTGTGTAATCTTTTTTTTTTTTTTAATGGGGCTTTTTGCTACTCTAACATTCTCCCCCTTTGACGGGGTAACCCTAAACTCTTTTAGGGATTAAGTAAGAGCTCCCAAATACTTCTGTTGACATTTTTGGCCTTTGGAACAGAGTATGTTGCGAAGAGGCCCAAGGACATTTTGACTTTTAGCCAAGAAACCGGCTACTTTTCTTTGGAATCTTTTTACTCTAACTGCTTAGCCAATTCCTACCTCCTATTATCACACCATCCTCCGAAGAGGTTACCCGAATTGCTGATGGGTAATTGGGATGCAGACTGCTGTGGCTTCTTCCATGTTGAACAGGGATGTAGGGTAAGGCAATTGGGGTACCCTTTTAATGGGTCTATCTAAAAGACTCCCAAATTGCACAACTCTTAACTGCAGGGAGAAAAGAAAGTCCTTGACTGGTGCTTAGGGAGATGTGAAGAAGTAAAGGCAAGAGTAATTAGCATTACAAGTTCTAGACAGGGAACCAGAAAAAGGTCAGACAGAACAGGGCAAATTTCAATGTTCATATCAGAGACCTTTGGAATTTCTTGTTGAGAGCTTCCAAAAGCATCTCTCTATTGGGTTCCTCCTTGTTTTTCTTTTGTCTGCCAAGGCTGAACTGGAGAGTAATGGCAGGATTTGTTTTCAGGCACTTTGATAGCTGTTGGAGTGGCTAGAAACAGTGTCAGTTCTCTTGGAAAGGCGTTTTAGATAGGTGAATAAAATAAATTTAGTCATCATTATAGAACAATAGTGGTTTGTCTCCCTTAGCTACAGGTGGGCACTACAGTATTGCAGACCAAGATTTGAAGTCTTACATCTGAGCAGTACTTTATAGAAAAAAATTTAATCAGTTTTCATGTAGTTTTCATAGTCTTAAGGATTTTTTTGTAAATGTCAGATTGGTGAGTTTTACTGTAGAATGTTGGCAAATTTAATGTTACATACTTTACAACCAATAGCAATATAGCTTTATATTGTAGCTTCATAAAATTTGAATGAAAAGGAAGCTATTGATTTGATTTGGGATTTCAGAGCTGTTCAAGGAATTTGTTAAAGATTGAGTGAGGTTGGTCATAATGATCAGTTTGAGACTCCTGTTTTGCAATTGCAAAATTTATATAAAATTTATCTTCACGAATTAAGGCTGTAGAAGCTTAAAAGATAGAATGTCAACAATTTTGATATGACTCACATTCAGAACTACTGAGAAAATCTTATGGCTCAAATCCCCCCTTTTTACTTGACATGTTAATTCAGGCTTTCCTTGTTTGTTTAGTTACTAAAATGGAGGCTAGAAGCAGTCTTATTGCTGATTTGATTTACCACTAATTGCCTAATTGTTTGAGAGCTTAGTAAAAGCAGTTACAACAGAAGGTTTTTTTAGCAAGTCTCTGGAAATCCTTTTATTGGTGTTGGTTACAGTAGTCCAACCCAGAGGAATGGTATATATGTGAAGGTGGTAATAGTATGTATATAAATGTAATCCTACAGGTTTATCTTGTCAGTGTTTTCCCCTTCTTGGACCTGATTAGTTTTAACAGATAACCTTTTTTTTTTTGCATATAATGATACATGTATGTAGTATGTAGTTTGAACTTTTAAGTGATGTGGGTTTTTTGCTTTCCTTGAGGCAAGGTCTCACACTAGTCCAGACTGGTCTGGAAGTCTTTGTATCCTAGGCTGCCTTTGTGCTTGTGACAATCCTCTTGCCTCACCTTTCCAAGTGTTGGAATAATAGGCATGAGCCACCACACCTGACTGAAGGTTTTAATTTTTTTTTTAAGGAATGAATTTTCATTGCCATTTCATATTTGTTCACTTGGTTTTTATGAACACATACTTGGAGAGCAGTGTTTTTTTTTAAAATGTTACTTACAGTAAAAAATGTAGTCATGGTTAAAAAAAAAAAAACCTATGGATTTCTCCCTACACAGATTTAATTTCTCATTTTCCTTAATGCAGTTTTTGACAGTTTCTTACTGTATTTTCATTTGTATGAGCTAAGTTAGTCCTAGGGGAAAGCCTGCTTTTAAATATGATTTAAAATTCTTTTTATGTGTTTTAGATTCTGGAAGTTACAGTCAGTCTGGGGGTGAACAGCAAAGGTAAAGTATACATATTTTCATAATATGAAGGGCTGAAATGGAAATACAGGTTTCTGAGATTTGATATTTGGATGTCTTAACTAAGAAGGCTAGGTATGGTGATTCAGGCTTGTAATCCCAGCACTCAGGAACTTGAGGCAGGAGGAGGATTGCCACAAATTGAAGGCTAGCCTGGGCTATGTGGTTTTAAGGAATTTTAAATAATTATTAATTTATCATGGGGAAAAACCTGTCCTGTATAAGTAGGTGCTGTGAAACATTTAAAAGTCTGTGTTTTCAATAACTGTATCTCCCAAAGATGAAGATATTCTCTAGGTATTGTAAACATTGTTTTCTTTAGAATTCTTTTTAAAGAAATTTAAGAGGATTTCTTAAAACTAGCATCAAACTATAGCAAGTTCTTAGAAAAAGCATTTTATTTCTTGATGGTGTATAATATGCTAATGTATTTTTTAGAGCAGATTTCCTTGAAGCACTATAATAGAAGTATTTAGTGCTTTTTAAAAGTTCTTAACATGCTCACTATGAAAGTTTGTTTTGCGCGAATGCATACGTGGTAGTAGGCTTACTAAAAGTACAGCTTTCAGCTTACACTAGAAATGGTTTGCTGCACAATGTTCGATAATTCAAATAGCATATCAGGAATGTCAAGTTTAAGCTTTCTCTAAAGAAAATTGATGTGACTTTTTTTTTTTTTTTTTTTTTTCCTTTCTTTTTTATAAGATAGTGCCAACCTCTTAGTTAGGCATCTGGCAAGTGTTTAATCATCAAATGTATTTTTTTCCCCCTGTTCATTTATATTTTTAATTATTTAAAAAAAACAAAAATGGGGCTGGAGAGATGGCTCAGCTGTTAAGAACACTGGTTGTTCTTGCAGAAGACCTGGGTTCGAACCCCAGCACCTACATGGCAGCTAACAACTGTCTGTAACTCCAGTTCCAGGGGATCTGACGGCCTATTCTGTCCTCCTTGGGCATTGCACAACACAGCTGCACTTACCTACATGCAGGCAATACACTCATACACATAAAATAAAAATAATAAATAAAATATTTTTTAAAAAATTAAAAGAAAAATGGAAGTGTAATTTTCATTCAATAAATATCATTTGATTCTTAATGCAGTTCTTTTTTCAGATGGTGGTGTGCATTATTTTAGAATAATTGGAATTTATCAACCAAATAATTGGTTTTCATAGTTTCAATTACAGCAGCAATTTCCTTGAACTGTCTGTAGAAATTCTGAAACTGTGGAACTGTCATTTCAAAGGACTTGTTCTTCGCTTGCCCAGAATGATCTGCCACTGTTAGCGTCACTGCTACATAAGGATACTTAAGAGATCTGTAGCTGTCTGAGCTCGCAGCCATACCCAGTTTCTACTGAAAATCTATAAGCTGTTTGGTCACCTCAGATTTAGCATCTAGCATGGGCTCCCTGGACGGAGACCCCTCCATGGCCAGAACCTCATCAAATGTTTCTTTTTTTGGTCTTTTTGAGACAGTCTCCCTGTAGCCCCAGCTGACCTGGAACTTGCTGTGTATTCTGGACTGGCCTTGAACTCACAGAGATCGCCTGCCTCTGCCTCCTAAGTGCTAGGACTAAAGTCATGCACCCCCATGCCCAGCATCAAATGTATCTTTTAAAAACATTAAAAAGTTTTGATTTTTAATCATGTGCATATATTTATACATGAGTACTGGAGCTCCTGGAGGTCACAGGTGTTGGATCCTCTGGAGCTGGAATTACAGGTGGTGGTCAGCCACCTAATGTGGGTGCTGGGAATTGAACTCAGGTCCTTGGAAGAGCAATATAAGCCCTTAACTGCTGAGCCAGCTTTTCATCCCCCATTAAGTATATTTTTAAAAGTTAGGGGATTCTCAAAAAAGTTATAAATTTTCTTAGTATTTGATAACTCTAAAATAATAAACAGCTGTGCTTGGTGACACATGCCTTTAATCCCAGCCTTTAGGAAGCAAAGACAGGCAGATCTTTGTGAGATTGAGGCTATCCTGGTCTACAACGCAGTTCCAGACCAGCTGGGGCCACAAGGAGATTCTGTTTCAAAAGAAAAAACTGCCGGGCATAGTGGCGCACACCTTTGATACTAGCACTCGGGAGGCAGAGGCAGGTGGATCTCTGAGTTCAAGGCCAGCCTGGTCTACATAGTGAGTTCCAGACAGCTGGGGCTACAAGGAGACCCTGTCTCAAAAGGAAAAAAAAAAAAAAAAAAAAAAAAAACCCAAGAAAATAATAGTAAAAAATTATATATGTATTTGTAAATGTTTTAGTTTTTCTTTGGGTATTAAAGTCATTCAGAAAATTTGTTTTGACTTGCTAGTACTTTGCATGCTGTGAAGTAATTAAGGAAAATTCAAATCATAGGAAGGTACGGTTAGCAAATATTTCTTGAACTGCGTGTCAGTGCTGTGACACTGGCGATACAATATAATTTTCATTCTGTGATGGCACTTTGGATGTGTACATCCCTCTAATTACTGAAGCATTTAAACTGGACTTTGATTCCATACAATGCCTTTTCCAGGAAGTTAAAGACATTCAATTAAAGCAAATAGTAAGAAGAAACTAATCTGTTGAAATACAGCTTTTTGGTTAAAGTATTAAAATATTACCTTTTTTTTCTTTAGTTTTAGATATTTACTATGGGTCTTGCCATGCAGTTTTTGGAAATGACACATTAGGATATGTTATTTATATAAACATTGTTGAGCTGCAAATGATTGCACATGCTTTAGGTGTTAGAAAAAATTGAATCATTGAACCTGATAATTAAATAAAAACTTCTGTATGGAATACTTTCCAGTGCCTTTTGTTGTTTTGTTACTTATTCCAAAGCGTAATTCTCTTGCTTTTGCAGCTCTGGTAAAAGTTTTATTTGTGAGAAGTATCAAAGCAAAATTTCAGATATTTGACATTCAAGAAGTCTGAGAATGACTGCATTTGTATTTTTAGTAGTTGTTGGTCATCAGTTCAAATCCTCAGACAGGCAGAGCTCTTTTTCTTTTAAAATCCTAGCAGTCTTATTTTGAGTCATTCCCTAAGTATGATAGAGAAAATTGGAAAATAGAAAATACAAGAATTAGTAGCCAGAAAGCAATTCAGGAGTAAATAGGCCAAACAGTTCTATTGAAGATAGAGTTCTTCGTTTGAGCTTTTAAATTTCTTTAAGCACATTTCTTCAAGTGTTGCTTTTTTTTTTTTACAGTTATTCTTCCTATGGAAATCAAAGTAGCCAAGGCTATGGACAAGCACCACAAGTACGTTACAAAAGTAATTGTTTTCTTTATAAATAGTTGTTTTATTTTAAGTAGTTAATGAAATTTGAATGTTTACCTCAATTTCAGAGCTATTCTGGTTACGGACAAACAACTGATTCTTCATATGGACAAAACTATGGTGGATACTCCAGTTACGGACAAAATCAATCAGGTTGGACTGGTTTGTTATATTTGTTCTTTTAGAGATTCAGAAATCAGAACTTTAATCACTAAAAAATATGCCTATACAATTTTTAGGTTATTCACAGTCCTATGGTGGTTATGAGAATCAAAAGCAGAGCTCATATGGCCAGCAGTCGTATAATAACCAGGGACAACAAAACACAGACTCATCAGGAGGGTAAGGAAAAAGTAAAGTACTGAATTGTGTTGGGGAATAGAAATAAACTTCACCACCAAAATCCTGACTTGAAATTTCTCAGTGCCTACCTTTTTATAGTTTCTCGGATTAACTTAAAAAAGAATACAGCAACAGAAATATTCTAAGAGAAATTTAAATAGAAGTTTTGGGAAAAGATTTGTGAGGTCAAATTACTGGTCTTACAGGTTATGGAGGATTTGTAAAGTAGAAAGTAGAATACAAATGTAGGGTGTAATATCTGGAAATCATGCTTCATTAGGAAAAATTTGTCTAAGCCCTACTGATTAGTGTCAATTGTAAAGAGAATTCTTTATTATTTTTTTTTAATTTTATCTATATAAGGGTATTACTTGCATGTAGGTTGGTATACCCATGTTGTGCAGTGCCTGCAGAGGTCAGGAGAGGGTGTTGGAGCCCCTGGAACTGGAGTTACAGATGGTTGTCAGCCACCATGTGGGTGCTGGGAATCAAATCTGGGTCATCTGCAAGAGCAGACAGTGCTCTTAACTGCCGAGCCAGTGTTTGAAAGCATGAAATAAATATAAAGCAAAGAAAAATGTTAGGTTTTATTTGCCCATTTAAAGTAAAGGGTTACTATGCAAACTACAGCTTTGGGTCGAGAGTTAGGCAACATAGTGATCTTCACTAGATTGTTCTTATAGTCTACAGAATTAGATATGACTATTAGGTTATGAGACCTTTTTTGGCTGTCTCTTGTTTTTTCCTTTTAAATGTTTTACTTATTTTTTTAATGTGTATGAGTCCATTGCCTGCATGTATGCAAGTGCACCCATGTTGTGCAGTGCCTTAGGCGGTGAGATGAAGGCATCTGATCCCCTGGAACTGGAGTTAGGATGGTGGTTAGTGGCCATGTGGGTACTGGAAATCAAACCTGGGTCCTCTATAAGTGCAGCTACTGCTCTTAACTACTGTGCTGTCTAGCCCCGCCCCCCCCTTTTTTTTTTTTTTTTTGAGATAGGCTGTTTCTTTGTAGCTTAAGCTGGCCTTGAGCTTTAGATGCTCCTGCCTAATCTTTCTCTATTGCTGAAATAGCAGGCATGTGCCATTACGCCTGGCTAAAAATAAATTTATTTTTTTAAGGAAATAAGAAATGGTATGGAGGGGCTGGAGAGCTGGCTCAGTGGTTAAGAACACTGGTTGTTCTTCCAGAAGACCCAGGTTTGAATCCCAGCACCCACATGGCAGCTAACTGTCAGTAACTCTAGTCCCAGGGGATTCAACAGCCTCTTGTGACCTCTGCAGGCATTGCACGACATGGGCGTACTACCTACATGCAGGTAATACACACATACACATAAAAATAAAAATTATACAATATTAAAAAAAAAAGATGGTATGGAAATGAAGTGACAGCCTTCAATTTAGAAAGAGTATACATTACTTAATGGCATGGTTATTAAACGACCAAACATACTATGTTTCAGTAACATTTTGTTTACTTATTTTTCTTTTCTTTGAGACAGGGTCTCCCTGTAGCCCCAGCTGGCCTGGAACTCACTGTGTAGACCAGGCTGGCCTTGAACTCAAAGAGATCCGCCTGCCTCTGCCTCCCAAGTGCTGGGGTTAAAGGCGTGTGCCACTGCTCCCAGCCTACTTTTTTTGTCTTAATTCAAGACTTTAAAAACTGTTTCTTGACTGGGCTCATGGTGGCACACACCTTTAATCCCAGCACTCAGGAGGCAGTCCAGCCTGGTCTACAATAGTGAGTTC